TATATATATATATATATATATATATATATATATATATATATACATATATATATATACATATATATATATATATATATATATGGAAAAAACAGAGTCAAAGCACTGAGATTCATTGAAAACCTCCTGGTTATTCCACCAAATATTGCTTTCTGAACTCTTCCTGAGTTAAAACAATATTAATGTTGTTTCTAAATGACCATGAACTTGTTTGCTTTACATTATTTGAGATATGAAAGCACACTTTTGTTATATTGACCATTTCTCATTTGCTGCTAATAAATACAAAATTTTAGCTTGGAATTTCAGAGACATGTTGTCAAACATAAACATATAAAGAGTAAAATCAGAGGAATTGGTCATTTTAAGTGGTCTCTTAATTTTTTCCAGAGCTGTACATACATTTATCTCAAATAAGTCTTATCCCTCCCGCGGTCTTAAGAGACGGGGTCATTCAGACCCGGTGGGATTGCACTGACCTTGTGTGTGCCTTCACAAGTTTTTTATTATTTTTTTTTATGTGTATTTGGTTTTGGAAACTGACGGTCTGACGGGACAATGCCACAGCTTTCCCATTGTCCGACTGCGACATTTGCCACGATCCTCCTGCAGGAGAGTTCAAAGAAAATTTACTCCGTACTTCAACACTTTGAAATTATGCCTCTGTCTCTTTAAGAAAGTCATCACTACATCGCTCCTCTATTAGCGCTTTAAGAGTGCTTATACCAGTGTTGCACTAAGAAGAAGCTTGTATGATGAGTTCTTTGATAAATGACACCCAGAGTCTATATCCATGTGACTTTCATGGCCACAATGATAAGAAGTGAATTTGGACGGATACTGGTACTTAAAGTCGTAAAGATAACTTTAAGTGTTCCATATCAAACAAGTAAAGTTACACTACATTCAAGGCAGACTTTATTTAAAGGGGCAGTATAATGTAAAATAGATTTTTTTGAGCTTTACATCATGTTATAGTGTTTTTCCCTAATCAAAAACGTATCTGGAGTGTTTTCTTAATTCCTTTATGCATATTTGAGAAATCCTTTAATCTCCATGGCAACCATTCAGCTGTGCAAAACGCCTGGGTGGACCTAGCTCCGCCTTCGAGACACAGCTCCTCCTTCTCAGATATGCAGCTTCCAAGCTTTCAAGCTTCTGCCTGACAGAGCAGCCCTGTGACTCCTCCACTCAGCTCCTTCAGACTAGCTAGCAGCAATTAGCAAACACCTGGTGGAGCTGCGCATCTGTTGAGTTCATTATACGAGCTACTTTTCAGGGCAGAGCTGGTAAAAATGTTAAAAGGAGTTAGAGGCCCACTTTCAATGTGTTAAATTACAAAGTAAAATTTATTTTAAACCATATTTGATGTATAGTGTTTTTGTAGCA